TATATATATATATATATATATATATATATATATATATATATATCTTCTTTTGACTCCTCCAAGTTATGTAATTACGTAGTGCACATTTACAGCTAAGCTGCGATATGTGGGTCTTTCGTCCGACACATCCCACTTCATCAAGCATTTTTTAATGAGGTTAAATTCCCAGATAGTTGCATGGGACAGGAACATGTTGCGTTCATTTTCTCTCGTTGTTCCCTTAACTACGGGTGTTTCCCCGGGAAAACCATCCAGGGCAACCGCATATAGACTGGTCGGCCGTCAAAGGGAAGGCAGGGACAGATCATGGGCTTTGCCCTTCATTCAAGAGACTTTTGTAAATATAGAGTAGATACAGGACACTCTGATCCTGGGCTCACCCAAAGACTTGTCACATCCTGCACATGACTGCTTAACGTCACATCCGTACGCTGAGCTTTCCGCTCTTCACAGGCTGTGCACTCTGGAGACTAGCAGGAAGCAGCCCGGAGGTCCGGGATTTCGATAACCACACAAATAGGTAAGTTCTTTTCGTGCACGTTAGACATTTATAATGTTGCTTCACCTGTACGCGCTGAACGTCAGTATGGAAAAAGCACGCATCTCTGGCAAATGCTAACAGACTTTTGAACCTTTCTGCCAACAAGTAAGACTTGACAGTTGGACATTGAGGATTTTGCTGTTGCGTCATGAGACTCCTTTCTTCTCAGAGGACTGATACTGGCAGGTTGCTGTGGTGTGCCTCAACGTGGTGACAACAACGCTGAGGGTCGCCAGAGGATGTTCAGAGACAAGACTATCCCGTGAGAAACCGCCCACTTGAGATGTTGCTCGTCTTAGCTGCTCTTAGCTGCGGTCAAATCTCTTGGTCTAGGACTTGGTCTCAGCAGTTTTTTCCCACTCGACAGACGTTTTAACCGAGAGTTGTTATTTAGTAATAAATTCGGCCAGTAGCCTTTACTCGTTCTCCGAATGAGATTAAATAGATTTTCAACCATGAGCTAGGGAGGGGGGGGGGGGAGGGGCTGATGATAGCCAAACTGGCACTACATATCTGAGGGCCACCAACTGAGATCCCCTGCCTTACAAACATCCAGCTCTGTTCAGGTCACACAGGTGAGCCCTTATCAATAACGCACGACGTCAATGTGTGGCGTGAGGATCCATAAAACCAGTACAAAGCTGGCTGGCGCTCAAGGTGTGGTAGGAGTATCTCCCTAATCACATCATAACAGCCTATACATTCCCACAAGCCTGTGATCAAAACCACTGCTCCACACACACATACATTTTAATTGAAGTCATTGGAAAGCTCTTGTAAATAGTTTATTTATAAAGAAACTGAGAATTTTCTGATAATAAATATATAATACGGCATCTGCAAACTTGTACAGAGAAACCAAAATATAAATTCTTTTTTTTTTTAACTGTGCAATCACATTTGTTTAAAAGGACAAAAACTTTTTGTGTAGGTTGATTTAACGTGTCTTCTAATGTTTGTGAACAGTAAAAACAACAAAATGTATTTCCTAAAACAGATAAAACAAAAATCAATTAAATTCAAACAATTTTTACAGTATATGTCTTAAAATGATTTCAGCTTAATACATAAAATGTTGACTGCAATCAGTGTCTATTAGTCAGTTAAAATAATGTAAACAATTATGATGAGCATCAATAAATATACATGTGGTTGTTTTCTTCTTTTCTTCCTTAGTGTTAACCTACCATAAACCCTGGCAGAAAGCTCTAGTTGTTCGTCCACTTCTGAATTTTGGTCTTGTTCCAGAACGTGAGCTTTGTGTGCAGATCCCTTTTACATATCTGGCTTTTTTTTATATAGGCTGTTGGTTCTTTTGTCTCTCCGGCAGATGTACTCAAACTTTGATGGAAACACTCCTAATATGTCCGCTTTTATGGCATGCTTGGATGGGAAGCCGTGGGTCTAATTTTTTTTTTCTAAAACCGGGCCCTGTAACCCCTCCCCCTCCCCCCGCCCGGGAGGTTATTTTTTACAAATTGCAATTTTATTTGAATTATTTGAAAAAAAAACAAATGATGAAGACAAGGAGATAAATACCTGTATGGCTTGAGCATATGCATAATCAAGACCTCAACAGAGACCCATTTCAAGGTCCAGTGATTGTGTCATATGGCAAACTATTATTACCCACAGTTGCCCTTTGGAAATGAGTGAACAGTGCCGAGGCACAGAGAGAGCATTACGGTCTGAGAAGAATGGCACTGCGAGGAGTTACAAGGGGATCTGGATGATGCTCGACACTTAGGGAAAAGGCAAGACGGATACACAGTCTGACAGTTACTGGTACCATCGGAATTTTCACTCCTCGCTTGCTGCTGAAGATGGGGATGGAGCGCTAATGGGGGTGTCCCGAGTGCTGTGATGTCGATTCTTAATTCAATATTCAATATTTTTTTTATTACCCATGGTTAGTAGACTGCTATATGACAATAACTTCCTGTTGGTCAGAAACACGACTGCTTGAAAGAAGCTAATGAAAGTAGATATCTATATACAAGAATAAGAAAGAGACAAGCACTGTTCTTCAGCCAAATAATGAGAAGAGATACATTGGAGAACATTGTTACAACTGGAAAGATCAGAGGAAAAAAGGGTGGGGCAGACCAAGAGAGGTGATGCTAGATGGGCTGAAAGGATGGCATGGAGGGATATCCTCAAGAGAGCAGTTCCAGGCAACCAGGGATCGTGATCTGTGGAGACGCCAGTTGGCGGGGCACATGATGATGATGATCAGAAACTGACTTTTCTTTGATCAGAACCTTGGGAGGCAAAAGTAAAAAAAAAAAAAAAAAAAATACAACTACTCTATTACTTTTAATGAATTAAGAAAACTTTGTAATGCATGGTAAGTTTCTTAGCTACAAGATCAGTTGCTGCTACAAGAATTATGTACTTTGATAAATAGTTGCCTTATTAGATACTAGCTGTACCCGGCCACGCATTGCTGTGGCCCAGAATGGTAAACTGGAAAAGAAAGAAAAAAGAAAGCGCACCTGACTAATATGGTTAATATCAGTCATTGCACAGCTACAGAGATAGTCTGATATGCCGACTCTAGAAGACGCAACATATTAGTGAATGTCGATATTAGTGGTGGAATAAAGTGCACTGTTAGAGAGAGAGAAAAAAATATTATTTGTTTATCGAGGCTAATGCATCTGTTGTGCTTAAACAGATAAAAGTAAAGCTGACTGCTATACCTCTAACCGACCAACAATCTGACACCCAAAAGGGAAAAAATGAGAATAGCTGAGGAAGCGGTATTAAAATATAAATGTGTAAGAAATGAGAACTGTAAAAAAAAGTTATAAGCTCTCATACTTTCGAACATTAGAAGCAAGAACGGAGCGATGTGCGAAGCAAAAATACAGGACAAACGATCGACGATAACAGCGTTGTTTGGGCAAAATGGAACTTCTCAATCAACGCTCACACCATTGCTTGGACCTTAAAGAGTTAAATAAATTCAGAAAACTGTAATGTGTGATAAGCTGCTTGGCTACAAGATAAGTTGCTGCAACAAGAATGCTGTCCTATAATAGATAGTTGCAAGACCAGTACTAATACAGAACATAAACATAACAAATACTATTCCCATGGCAATTCTTGTTCTAACCTCTGCTGTTGTAACTGTGCCAGGATAGTTCCTGGGTACTGCATGACTTTATGTATTTACTTGTGGATATCAGAAACAATCATTGCACAGGGTAATACAGTTTTCAGAGAATTCTTCACTTCTAAATTCAACACAAAGAAAGCAGTATTCCAAGATGTCTCTGGTCAAATAAATAGCTCAGTAGGTCACCAATAGAAATGACCGTCATCAATATATCTCATCACTCACAGCTTGTTACCTTTTCTTTACTGCGTGCATTGTTTTAACCATTGAATAAACATACCCACACTAATCACTTAATTTCTCTTGTATGTAATTTCTTTTATTCATTAACTGTCCATAATTTACCAAGCTCATACAGTATATATTAAAAGAAGAAACAAGAGAAAATGTAACAGGTCATTTTTGCCAGAATGTGCACAAAAGACTAAATTAACACACTGCACCAAATTAAACAGTGTCATAAATAAATAAATAGTATTTGCATCAACACTAACATATTTACATTGAAATATATGAATGTGTAAAAATATTTTTAAACTGTACAAGCAACAAACAGCTAACAAATTTATAGTTATGTGTACATTTCAAGTTATCTTATAAATAATCTCCATTTTAGCAAAAAGTGTTATAACAGTAAACAATATTTTAAACTAAAAATTTGTCACTAATTAATCACATGTTACTTGTTTATATTTATATTATACGGATACACTATACAAATATCTTTTAAAACATGTTTCCTTAATTCAACTCATTAAATATAAAATTAGACTCACTGATTCTAATTCTGCTGTAACATTTGAATTTGCGGTTTGTGCACTTGATTGTTAAAAAATCTTCCAGGTTCAATCCCCAAAAAGTAGCTACTTAGATGCTGGTATTTACAGCCTCAGATATTCCATCAATCCATTGCTTGCAAGGTCGACCTCTTGCTCTGCTTCCATCTGTCAAAGTGACAGGGCTCTCTTTGTGGTGCACGACTTCTTTGTTGATGTCATCATTTCTGATCCTGTCTCTTCTAGTTACATTTGGGATTAAATGTACACATTTAATTTCTGTTGGGTTGCCTTTATTTCTTGACCCCGTTGGTTGCAGTGCAAAAACATTCTCATTAAAGTGTTGTCAGGTTTTCTCAATATCAGTGTCCGTTCACCTTTTGCTACACTGGAATGTGTTTATTTCTCTTCCAAACCTCTACATTAATGATTCTGTCATAAACCATTTAATTCCCTATATATGCACAGGCATCATTGAAGAACATATTAATTTGGAGTGTACTTCTGTAATAAAAATTATGTAGGTCAACTGTTATGTAATTTCCAAGTGTCGGAAACCATGTTAGTGATCTCTTTCCTCTGGAGGACGAAAAGGAATTTTCAGTACCTGAAAAATTGATTCTTCTGTTGGAGTTGGGATTATAGTCCCTTTACAAATTTTCTCAGACCCCTGGAAAACAAAGAACATAATTTAATCACTATGGTTTTTACAATGCAATTGATAAACATCATTAAATGTTTTGTAAATTAATAAATTTGTTAAATCTAATCCTGTTTATATTATTTATTAACAAGATAAGGTTAAGGATAATGATATATCTTTATTAACAACCTCTGTTTTTGAGATTATGTCCATTTACTTATGTTCTGCATCTTCAAAAAAATTTATTAAATAAAAAGATTGTAAAATTAAAACTTATATAAAAGGTAGTTAAACAGAAATGTAAAAAGTGTACCAATCTTTCCTAAACATGTTTTAAGAACATGCTAATTAAGTGACATGTTTTGCTTTTTGCACAAGTGTCTCAAAGATCTGTTAATGTTTTTTTTAAACAAAAAGATCTCCCAAATTGAAATTTATGGTACTAGTAGTTTATGAAACCTGTAGAAAATGGACAAACCTTTCTAACAACTCCTGTTTTAAGAGCATGCTCATTAAGGGACATGTTCTGTTTCTTGCATAAGTGTCTCAAGGATCTGTTAAAGTGTGCAGAGCCAGTGAAGTACACAAGAGCACATCCATATTCTTCATAAGGAACAACAATGATATCCAAGCGGCGGTGCTGAAGACATTAATAGAAATACACATTTAAATTACTTATCTGTAACAGCTTATTTTCGAACAATAATTATACAGTATTTCTAGTTCAAATTTTGATAATTCATTCTTTCATAAAAATTCAGCAGATTCAAAATGGCAAGCCAACAATCAGCATCACAAATACTTTTCTCCAGGCAAATATCACAAAAATTTTAATTCAGACTAACAATTTATTCTACTCTGCTGTTTAGGGTGAAAATGTGTAGGGTGTTAATGTCAAATTGCTGTGCTGTAATGCTTCTTTTAATCTATCCACCCGTCTCTTTCTTGGTCAGCCTCTTGCCTTGTAGCCTGCAGTTCTCATGTAGTACCTTTGAGCTACTGACTGATTTTGTTCCATTCTGACCAAATTACCAAACAATTTGATTCTTTGATGTTCTATGAAATCATTTACTGGTACTGACCACAAAGATAGAACACAAATCCCACCTCCACCCTATCCCTCCTCTCACCAATTGGTTTTGAGGTGGGGGAGGGGAGAGAACAGCTTCACTTCCTATAAGCTTATCGTAACAGATGACTAATTTAGATTTTGATAAAATCAGATGTGTTGAGCCAAAAGACGCAGATATCACAGCCTAGCTGTAAACCACAACATAATGTGCAAATTACCCTTTTAACAGTGAATGCAGAAGAAGAGCATATATTTTAGCTTTTCAACTGTGCATCTTCAGAAAAGTAAATACAAAATTAAGGGAAAAAGGCAATTCTAGAACAACTCAGCTAAACGACTGTGTTACTGAAAGAAAAATGAACATTACATTTAATGACATAGCAAGCTAGTGAAAACCATAACAGAGAAAACAGTTCAGGAGAAATGATATACAGCGCTTCAATGATATAATGCATAGACAACATCAAGATATGTAACGGATACAGCCTAACAGAATGTGCAATAAATGATTAGAAGATAGACTACTGAAATCTATTACCATCAACCCTCAGTGTGGAGAGAGCAATGGATGATGATTTTTCTGTTTGTAGAAATGAAAGCATTTTTCTGACTATTAGCTTCTAGTTTAACGCAAGCTCTTAACCCCAAGATCTCATGCAAAGCTTTTTTGTCCCTTGCTATCTCATGTTCATTTCCCCCCCCTTCCCCCCCCCTCACCATATTACTCCTCTGTCTTATTTTCTTCTTCATTTGTCCTACTGCTTAGGCCATGTGTAGCAGAATGTAGTTAGATGTAGTTTCATGTCTTTCGCTAATTGTGTAACTTGTCCTATTGCATTTCTGTAGTGTGCCTCTTTTACTCCATTCACCCATCTTTTTCTTGGTCAGCCTTTTGCCTTGTAGCCTGCTGTTTATGCAGAATATTCTAGCTGCTAGCTGATTTTATTCCAGTCTGACCAGATGACCACAGACCATTTTATTCTTTGTTGTTCTATGAAATCATTTACTGGTAATGTGCCTACCATAGTTATTAGTCCTTCTCCTCTGTCTCTTCTTGTTTTTCGTGCCGCATTTCTTATACATCTCATGTCACATGTAATTTTGCATTTATGTTTTTCTAGGACTGTCCATAGTATGAACAGCAGCACACTTATTAGTTGTTTTTATTGTCTGCCTTTGATATTTTGAAGCCTTATAAGTGTCTACTCATCTGCTTCCTCCAAATTTTATCTCAATTTTTAACAAAAAGGCAACTATTAATCCCAACATTAAAAAGATGTAAACTGAAGTGGTGGGGATACAAATAAAATCTGCCAGCCTTTTCACCATGATACTACATGATGTGGTATCAGGACACAAAAGATTTGAATCATAAATCTGGCTGATTGGACAGTCCTCAAAAAAAGAAAACATCACGTCCAGAATATATGACCACTAGAACTGGAAATATCTGATCAAACAGTCAAAAGCAACTCAATGAACCAAGTGCACATAGTGATGTGGGACTATATATAGATGTCTTTTATTTTGTGTGTGTGTATGTGGGTTGTTTTTTTTTAAACAGAAGAACAGTTTAGTTATGTTTTCAACAAGTTTTCAGGATGTCACTTTTACTGTTTCTCAAAGTTCATTAAGGATTCTAACATTCCTGATGTCAGTGCTGAAATAATGAAGTGGCTTGGAGGTAATCATGGCAAACTTGTTATATTATCTGACACATGCCAAAAAATAAAATAAAAACATGGATGGCTGTGGTATTTATGGATGACCTTTTCAATGCAGCAAACTTCAGAAACATTTATGGATATGTTGTCATAGACACACCCTAGTTAGTGGTAATGGTAAAGAAGTGGTCAGCCTCTTGAGTACCTTTACTGGGCTATTTTTAATTGAGCAAATCTTCAATAACGCAGGCTGTCAAGAAAGAACATGTGTGTAGTAATCAGTCGAGGATTACGGCTAAAATATCAAGTGAATAGGGGGAGTTACAGTTCTGAAGTGCCTGTACACGAGCCTGGTAGTGATACAGCATGAATAAAACAACAATTTGCAGACTAAAATAGTAAACAATCTGAACTAATCATAAGCAGCAATTGCATGAAAATCTTAAATGTGCATCCAGTCAGAATGTGACAGGAACCATCAGTATCTACAGTTGACAACATCCACTGAGGAAGACTCAGTACAAATGGACATGTCCTGAGTGCCCTGGTGCTACTTCTTTAAACCAAACTAATAATAATAGCAACTTACTTTTCTGTTTTCACCTGGTAGTTTACAAACACCCATATATTTCTTCTGGTTATCAGTCTCACTTACACAAACAAGGTCATCTGTTAGAAATCCTGGAGAGACACCACAATAATGACTGAATCAGTGCATTAAGACTTTGTGTGATTTGTATCTGCACCCTTAAAAGTGCATACCTTGCTAATACCTTCTCTAATATGCTCCCAGGTAAATATGTAGCATAATATTAATTTTGTGACTAACTTAACATTGTCCACCATTTGCCAGTCAAAAAATGTCTTCTATGAATATTAATTTATTAAGTGAGATGAGAACTAAGGTCAGAAATTAAAATTTTTTAGAGCCAGTCCTTATAAATGAAAGTGATTCATGGATAGTAGCAGATTAGTGGGAAATTATACAGAACTATACATATATGGTTTTATAGAAGTTTGATGAGAATACCATGAATAGATTGAAAAACACAACAAAGAAAATGTCTTGAAATAAACCGATGTGTAATTCACAAACAGAGCCAGCTATTTGCATCAGAAAAAGAAAATGTGCATTATCTGGGCACATCATGACAACAGAACCAATGATGACACAAAATTTGGGTTGGGGGGGGGGGGGGGGGGGGGTGAGCGGTGGGATATAGAGGCAGGTTAAAAGAGAAAATGTTGGACAATTATTGTATTCTGGCATGAAAAAACATCAGTATCAGAAATTATTAATGAAATGTTAGTATAGGTGTGATGTAATATAATATAGGTGTAAGTAAAAAGTAAAGATCCCTTTTCACGCCTTAGGCGCATCAGGTATATGGGAAGAGCATCCCATATTTTTACAGACCAATCGGCACTGGATGGGTAATGTGGTCAGCATTACGCTGGCCGTCTTTACTTCCCCAGGATAGCCATCCGGGTACCCATTTTAGGCTGGGTCTACCTGCAACATCCCATACCATGATAAAAATCCACGCAGCCAGCAGTGGGTTTCGATCGTGGTACGTTGGATTACGAGTCGGACTCACAACGCCTTAGCCACGGACACCGCAATATAGGTGTAATATGATTTAAATAGTTTAGCACTTAGTAATTTTTACAAGAATCTGCTAAATTTAATAATATTACCATTATTCACCAGACTACGCATTCAGAGCCCAATGCAACTATTTAAACAGGCTTGAATAAGTAATATAACTTGTAAACTTGAGTTAGCTGACACTCCATAATTCTCACTGCACACAGAACTGTTAATCTGTAGGTGCTCAAATTCCCTCCTCAGCATATCCTAGTTTCTAGTGACTCCCCTCACTGGTTTACTACTTTCCACTGATCCTCTGTCCTGCTTAAAGGTTAGTGAATGCCATTAATAATTTTGTGATCCTTGAGTACTAGAATTCAATTCCTGTGGTGAATGTTTAATTTTTTTAAAGGCCGTTCTCACAGTTTTCAGTCAGTAGTACAAGAGTTACACCACTGAAGAGACTGGGGCCTCACTGTATAAACTTCCCAAAGGCAACAGCGCTACACTACAGCCAATATTTACCCTGGAGATGGAACATCATTTGAACTGATCCTATATGTAACACAGATAGGTCTATTCCTGTATACCCAATATGCTTGAAGGCGTGGAAAAGGGTCCTTTATTTACTTTGCTTGTACTCTTTGTGACATTCTTTATCTGGTGTCCCTATTTTTTTTTAATATGCCATTATTGGAATCTGGTTCTATCTAACTGCTGATAGATTTTTGACATAAATAACGTGCACAATGAACTTTGCATCTTTGCCTTAGTCAAAGATTACTAAACATTTAATCCAAAAATCATTTTTAAAATCCTCATTTTCCTTATACAAAGCTATTCAAAAGCATTATCCTTTTACATACTATCTAACAGATTAAAATTAGTCTGCATTGTCTAAAAAATGTTTTTATCCCCCTGTGGGTTTGAAGTGCCATTATGGGGGAAACAAGAATAGACCTACTGCCTCCCCAAAAAGCATGTCATATGAGTTGACTAACTGGGGGCTTCCTTCAAATTTGGAGTGAATCATCCTGAGAGGCAATGAACTAACAGTCTGCACACAAAAAAGCCAGATCTGTAAAGTAGATGTGCACGCAACACTCAGGTTCTTGATCACGACTAAAATCCAGAACTAACAACCAGAATCTTTTTGCTGAAGTTTACAGCCGGTGAATGCAAAGAAGAAACGGTTTTTCCTATACCTGATTCTTTAAGTTTAGCAAGAAGCCTATGAAAAATTCCTCTGTGCGATTTCCCATCAGGATGTGTTATAAGGACATCAACATCACCGCAGGTAGGTTTGCCTCGTCGATAGGATCCACATGCCTGAGCAATAATCCCATCCTGGAGACTTTCAGCTGCTTCTTTCACCTGCAAGTAATATTACTTTTATCATGGTGATATCCAGAAAACAAAATATTATTTAATGGAGATTAATTCAGTGCTCATTTCCTTAGAAATTGGGGTACATTGGCAAGGTACCAACAGTCTGCATACAAATAAGGGAGATCTGTAAACATGGATGTGCACACAACACTCAGGATCTGGAACAAGACTCAAGTTCAGGGACGAACGGGAAAAAAAAGAAACTCACCACCAGGGTTTACAGCTGGTGAATGCAAGGAAGAAGAATGCACAGTTGGCCAGCAACAAATCCTCATAGTGCTATAAGATCACAATCACAAATCTATTGTTAACCTTTCAGACTGTGAGGTTTCACCAAAGTAGTAAGGAAGTTCAGTCACTATCTCTAGTCATTATCTCTGTTTGAGGTAACTCACTACACTGGTTTACTATTGTTCAATGAAGCTTGTAAGATATTTTGTTTTCTACTACTAAATATTTGTTACTACTTTCTTCTTTAACATTTGCAAAATTCAAAAATCTCTTTTTCCAGAAAAAGAAAAAAAAATCATTTTAGTTCCACCGATGCCTACTGTGAAAACAGATGCCTCTTTGCAACCAGATTTCTTATATTGATCAACCTCAAGAGAGACTGATTTATTTCTTGATGATGAAAAATAAGAACAGAAGGAATTCTAACACCAAGACACTTTATTTTCAATACAGATCAAATACTCATGATGTATACCTCATTTTTCCATCGACTGATAAGTTAAAGCAACAGAAGGTCAAGTTCTTCATACACCAGTAATGCATCAGTGGCAAAATTAGAGGATAGGATGTAGAGCAGACTAGATTTTACTGTCTCTAGAGATTGGTATGAGTAAGTAGTTGACTTCAATAGAAGGTCAAATTCTTCAATTACCAGTAATGCATCAGTGGCAAAATTAGAGTACAGGATGTAGAGCGGACTAGATTTTACTGTCTCTAGAGATTGGTATGAGTAAGTAGTTGACTTCAATAGAAGGTCAAGACTGTTAACTAGCAGAAGTTACGTATTCTTATCTTCTTTTTATAGTTCTTGCAAGTTCGTTTTGGTAATAATTTATGTTCACAGTTTTTGTCTCATGTACTGATACAGATCTTCTATCCCATTATGCCAAATCATACAACAACCTTTTTTATGGTAGCCCTTTGTCTTTCTTCTTTTCAAGCTATTGTTATAATTACTCCAGGTTTCATGAAATGTCTAAAGAATGTGGATTGCTTTCTTCTTTTATAGGTAAATAAGTTTCGTTTTTAAGTTAATTTCTTTCAAAACTTTTAATTGTATTTTTTATATGTCCATGATGTTCTCATAATTCTTTTATTAAACGACACCTCCCCAAATTCAACTTAATTTTTGAGTAATCCACTGACTGCCCTTGACTCACTTCTGTGCATGATGATTGGCTGTATAAAGCTCACAACTTCTTTCTTTCCTACCTCAATAAGGATAAATTAAGGATAAGCATTAAATATTTTCATGTGGTGAAATTCTGCTATATTTTTTTAAGCTAATCTACATTTAATTGTTTAAATATGCTTTCACAGATCTACAGGGTAATTAATTATTTTGAAGTATTAACTTATTTCAGACTTTTTTTTGGTGGGGGGGGTTTAATCTATTGAGTAAGGAAAACATGTTTTCTTATGCCGGTATACACAGACCCATAGCTTTTTTTTTTCTCTGGCAGTACGCAGTGGTACACATCAGAATGAGCACCTTATTTTAGGTACCATGTTTTCAGCACTGTTATTATGATTGTCATTCCATCCCTTTGTGGGATGAATATGCTTTCATAGATATTGTGCACCTGATTTACAACAAATATTATTTTACATATAAATTTCCAAAATCCTACAAAATAACTATTGCTTATGAGCACCAACAAAAGAATTATCTACCCATTTGAAGTTTACGACAACTATTAAAAGGAAAGCAACTCATGTAGTCATTATAACAGAAATGTAAAATACATAACGACAACTCACAACTCTCTCAATTTCTCCAGCCTCTTCTCTGGGCATCCTGTCTAAAAGATCCTCATACAGGCGTACACCAACTTGTTGCTGATGAGTAAGGCTGGCCTTCTCTTTTAAATCTGAGATTGTTCGAAAGCCCTAATCAAAATACAATGAAAGTCTATACTTATTAAGTTTGTTACTTAGATATTAAATGTCAATAGCTGCAAGAAGGGTGTCGCGTGCGAATGTGCACCAGAACGCACCAGTACGGAGTGAGCAAATAAGACGTCAAAACAATACGTAACGTTGTTATGATTTATTGTTGTCAAAGCAGTTGATGTTTATAGTCCGAAGGAGACGGACGTGGGAATCCTTGAGGACGCTTTACCCCGGGATCCCACGGAAGCAAACGTTATATAAAGTTGGATCCTTGAGGACGTTTTACCCCGGGACTCCAAGACCTCAGCAGGAAGCTGGTGAGCACTACATTCTCGGCAGCAAGCCGGTATACTTTCATTGCTTAATTCGGACTTGTCCGAGGACCAAGATGATTGTCATGATCTCAAGGTCGGACTGCGACCTATCGTAAGGACATATCCATCCATGGATGTACGAGTGAGCTTTGGTTGAACGAGTTGATTATTGATTGCATACGTATTCTTGTGTTGATCATTGCTGATTGTATATATCAATACAACCATTGGAACTTAACGCATAGCGTTCGAGCTCTACATTTTGAAAGCATTGAAGTAACTACTGTTTTACCCCTACTTGGCCTATTTCATCTTGGTACCACACACATCAGCGTGAAGCGGCTCGGCACGTCCCAATGAAGGTCCGCACGTATCAATGGGGGCCAGCCTTTAAAGAATGAGGGACCTCTCGTCACAAGTGTGATACGACATTTTGTCGTATTGTTTTGCCTCAAGTTGTACACGAAGCACATTCCAATTGTCACAGTCTTTACCAATCTCTAGCTGTGGATATCGTTCAATGTATCAAGTCGCCGCCGCCGGTCTGTTCTAGCCATCGTTGGATCTTCATCGGGACCATATCATTCTTCGTTCGTTGGATCTTCATCGGGACCGTATCATTGATACGTGCGGACCTTCATTGGGACGTGCCGAGCCGCTTCACGCTGATGTGTGTGGTACCAAGATGAAATAGGCCAAGTAGGGGTAAAACAGTAGTTACTTCAATGCTTTCAAAATGTAGAGCTCGAACGCTATGCGTTAAGTTCCAATGGTTGTATTGATATATACAATCAGCAATGATCAACACAAGAATACGTATGCAATCAATAATCAACTCGTTCAACCAAAGCTCACTCGTACATCCATGGATGGATATGTCCTTACGATAGGTCGCAGTCCGACCTTGAGATCATGACAATCATCTTGGTCCTCGGACAAGTCCGAATTAAGCAATGAAAGTATACCGGCTTGCTACCGAGAATGTAGTGCTCACCAGCTTCCTGCTGAGGTCTTGGAGTCCCGGGGTAAAACGTCCTCAAGGATCCAACTTTATATAACGTTTGCTTCCGTGGGATCCCGGGGTAAAGCGTCCTCAAGGATTCCCACGTCCGTCTCCTTCGGACTATAAACATCAACTGCTTTGACAACAATAAATCATAACAACGTTACGTATTGTTTTGACGTCTTATTTGCTCACTCCGTACTGGTGCGTTCTGGTGCACATTCGCACGCGACAAAGGGTCATCTATATGATAAAATATTTCACTTATAAAACAAGTGGTAATTAATCCATTTCTTATTTCAGTTTTTTTTTCTTCTTCTGCATTCCTACTAGAATAGTCGTTGGCACTGTGTTGTAGTTACAGCTAGCTGTGTTATGTGCGCATATTGATCAATACATTTGATTTCAGCAACCCATAATTTGTTGTCTTTTATGACTTGCTTTTAAGGGGGCCAGGGTCTATTCTTCTCCCCCAAAAATGGGGCCCTAGAACTCACATAGTAAACTTTTTTTTAAACTAACAAGCATTGCATATGAGCATCACTTATTAAACATCTAAATGAATGAGATTAAACCCCACCAGGACATTCATCCATCTAAAAATATTGATTCCTAAGTAACATTTCTGTAATAAGGGGAAAATATGCTACCATAGAGGACACATGGTGGGAAGTATTTGGTCTTAACATCTCTTAGACTATAGCTTCATGCATCTATACCTTTATCACACCTTTCTCCTTAGATAATTATCTGCTGCCGATTTTATGAGGTGCGGTCAAGCCCACAGCCAAACTTGTTGCAACAAATTATCCTGGAAACTGAACATAAACCAGTCTTGGTAGGCTAGTGCACCAATAGCAAATAAATTAAAAATGTTTGAGGTTTAAACGGGTGAACATCATGGCACACGGGCAGTAACCCATTTGTGCTCCGTTTTTTTTCTAACTCAAGTCTGAGGCCTAAGGGGTTTAGCACAGTGCACACACACACTCTGTAGCACTGGCAAGGATCCTGAAATACTTTGGGTAGATTTTTAACTCCAAAACCAATCTCACTACCCAGAGACCAGAGGGAATTACTAGAAGTCCAAGTCTACGTGAAAAAATCCCAGCCCTTACCAAGGATTGAACCCTGAACCTCTATCACTTGAGGTGGACACCATGCTTCAAGACCACGCAGCCCCCTAAATTTAGAATTATTGTTTCTAAGAGATCAGAAAATAAATAACTTTAACTTTTTTTTAAAATAACTGCAAATCCTCAGTACCAGAGTATGTGTGGCTAGACTGGCAGTGCCAATTCAATATATAATTATGGTCTTTCTAGTGAAAGCAAATATATAAATTATTAAAATTAATCATGCTTACCTGTTGATACCACATCTGAGCTGCATGAGGGCCAGCCCCCCATACATTTGTAAACAGTTTAAGAGTACTAACAGCTTCATTTGTTTCAAATTCCTTCAACTTTCTAAGTTCACCACTTTGAGCAATTTCCCATATTTTATCTGCCAGTCGTTTGCCTACTCTTGGAAGAGACTTTGCTTCCTAAGCAAAAAACAAACAAAAAAGATTACATTCTTTTTTGCTGTACACAATGAATTAGAGTGGGAGGTTATAATATAAACAATTTAGGTTATTTCGATGACACAGCACTGATAGCTGAAAATGCAAATGATCTACAACAATTATTGGACACTGTAGTGAGGGAGAGTAAAACAAAGGGTCTGTCCTTGAATATAAAGAAAATGGAGGTGATGGCTATATCAAAGAAAAGAATACCACCACAGTGTGATATTAGAACAGAATGTAAAAAGTTAATCCAAGTCGATAAATTCAAATACCTGGGTACAATCATAACATCTGAAGAAGATGTATGTCAGAAATTCAGAAAAGGCCAGGTTAAAGCCGCGTTTCAAAGAATGAAGAACATCTTGTGCAACAGGTCACTTTGGATGTCCAAAAGAGAGCACCAAAATGTTATGTAGAACCTATACTGCTGTATGGTAGTGAATCATGGAATGTGAATGCACAAATTAGAAAGAACTTGGAGGTGATGGAGATGTGGTTCCTCAGATGTATGTTAAGAATCCCTTGGACTGCTAGAGTATTTAACAAGGGTTGCTTGAAAGAAGCTAATGAAAAAAGATCAGTATATACAGCCACAAGGAAAAGAAAAGCACTGTTCTTTGGTCATGTGATGAGGGGGGGAGGCTTTGGAGAATACTGTGAAAACTGGGAAAATTAACAGTAAAAGAAGGAGAAGCAGACTGACAGAGATGATGACGAAAGGATTGCGATGGTTGCATGGAGGGATATCATCGGTGGAAATGATCCAGAGAAAAGGAACCGAGATCTGTGGAGATACATGAGTGCCTAGGCCAGTCGGCAGGGAATGTGATGATGATGACTGTTTATAACTCTTTCATTCCCTGAAATACTAACACTATTTGTTCTGGTAATCTAGCTAAATTCTGATAGTCCTGTAATTAAGACAGGAACTCTGTGACTTTTCCCATTATGCAAATAGGGACTTGCCTTTCCCATTTTGGCAAGCCACTGTGATGTAGTGGCTAGAAGCATGCCTGCGGATCACATTTTCAGTGTAAGTAGAAGTCCATATTTTTCAAACCTTTTTGAATACTTCTTTGTTTCGGATCAGTTTATCCATGTCTTGTTTCCTTGAAATGCATTCTCTGTCATTTTGTAAAGGTGTGGCCTAGTATTCTGTGCACTGACAGTCTTCAGTCTGCTTTTACCACATTAATGGTTGTTAATTTTTCTGATTGTAACACATTAGTCTTAAATTAATGACTTCTACTTCCACTTCTGTATTTGCCCTTGAAAAGGCAATCAGTGCATTGCATTATGGTTTACAACTAGGCTGCAATATCTGCACCTTTCATGCCAATACATCCTATTTCAGCAAAACTGTTGGTATTCTACAGTCTTATAGAGCTCATCACAACAGGAAGTGTTAGGTTTCACATATTCTAGGCCGCACACTGAAGTGAGGTGTTCAGCTCCTTTTCATTTCTATTTCCCCTTCCCAGATAACTCAAACATGATCCGGTACATATCTGATCATGCCATTCAACCTATGCTGTGCTGCCACCAAAATTAGCATACTTGACTGCTGAGTCAGTGGTCCAGGTTCAATCTCGAGGTGACAAGAAAAAATTGTCTTCACTAATCCTTACTTGCACTGAAATGCAGTTGGTGTGGTTATTAAGAGTGCCCTAGCTTCTTTTGAGGATGAACGGAGTATCTGAGCTTGCCCTGTGGGTCTGCCGCCAGCACAAGATTCTTTAGCCTCACTGTGTCAACCATTTAGGTTCTGTTGGTCTGTGACCCATAATGAGATCTTCTGATCTCGGGGTGTCAGTCAGGCTATTCATGTGTCTGACCAGAGGTGTTAAACAGCATGAACACACAGATATGTTCCTACCAGTATAACCTTGGGGTCAATACAATCTCATAAAAATGTGTACCAGATAATTTCCAGAATTATCTGGGGAGAAAAGGTGATGAGGAAAAGAAATGATCACCTCAAATTTCCTATCCTATGAGATAGGACATACCCCGTAAAACGTGTAAAGACCTAACACTTCAAACCCCACTTCATATGCCTTGTATTGGGACTGCCATTAGGACATCAGAGCTGTATTAATTAGAAAAGAAAAATACTGCCATTGCTTAGAACTGAATTCAGACCGCTGTGCGAGTTAAGTAACTGCTTTAACCCCTTTGCTACCACATCTTCCTTAGTTACTTAAACAATAATATTAGTATCATTTATAGGATCTTAGTGGATTACGGTCAAAGGGTAACTGTAAATAATGCTTTCAAAAAAAACATCTGTCAATAAAAAATACACTGTAAGTGGTTCATAAGGTAGCAAATGAAGAGAGTATAATGAACAGCTAGGAGAAATTAACATAACGATGGAGATGTCAAAGAAAGAGAGGAACACTTATAAATATTTAAAAAGTATTATCATATTTTTTTTAAAGAAATAATATATTTTTCGTTAACAAAAGTTAGTTTTAACTATTTACCTCCCATGATGATATCTCTTTTGGATGACGACTCAAGACTCTAATTGCATTCTGATAGCCAAATGCTCTCCATTTATCATTTGTACTTTCATAGTTTTTCACCATTTCCTGCATGATAATTAATTACTCATAATGTATGCAATGTAAAGATCGTAATCATCTTTAGCATTTTAGAAATTGACAATAAATTTTTCAAATAAATATTTCAACAGGATATTAAACAGTAATAATAATTACACTAAAGAAAATACCTTATACTGAAATATAATAATTCTACTAAAATAAAATACCTTATATTGAAATGTAATAACAACTCTTCTACTAAAATAAAATATCTTGCAAAGGAATTATTTACAAAGACTTGAAAATCTATATTAGTAAATCTAGCAAAACTCTGTTTAAATATGTGTTTCATTACTTCTACATGAATAGTTTCCAAGTAAAATGATTGCAAGAATGCACTGTTAAGCTTTACAAGACATGGGGTGATGCTTTAGCAAGTAATTACATCATCATCAATCACTGAAGTCAGCAATTATTGTTGTCTTCTCTTCTCACTTTCTATTGTCGCTTTAGTGTCACATATAAGGTTCTGGTTCTCGCTCTCACTCTTCTAACCGCTTCAAACATAGACAAGACTTACTGTTGTACAGTTTCTCTGATCCGATCCTATCTTTCCATTTTGTTGTTGGTCTTTTCCTTTGCTCTATAGCCCTCTCCCTTTTTTGTGTATTTCTTGTATAATATGGTATTGCAAGGCATTTTTTTGATAGTAGGCTAACCATTTATTTGCTATCTTTGTATGTAATTTAGAACTGGTTCTCTGGTGGGTTCTCCTCTAATGACTTCATTCCTGATATTATCTCTTCTGGACAATCCTGCAACCTTTCATAGACATTTATCAGTCAGTTCATATCTCAGTGTATTCTTTGTAGCAATAATAAATTCACTGCTGGATTTCTAGGCCTGTCACAACTTCCCCCTCAAGGTTAGTGATTATTGCAATAACCAGGCTGTATCTTGAAACTTGACTGCCTTTTTTTTTTATTACAAATGCTGTCCAGCTTCAGTATTGTCTTTAGTATGTTAGAATGTCATTTAAGGGGCCAAAGTATCATGATCTAATTAGTTTGGTTTAGAGTGCTGCTTCTTCTCCACATTTCTCTGCACACAAATATAATAAGATCCTTCCTGGTAGTGTCAGGTGAGATTTCTAATTCCACCAGGTGTAGCTGTATTTTGTCAATGATTTTTGCAACAGTCATTTATAGACAGTTTCATGGTATCATACTCAAACTTGCTCCTTCTTGAGGCGAGCCAATCAGCATTTTTAGATCCACCAGCACGACGTAGGTATAACAGCAACTTCTGCTCTTGTAGGCGTGATGACAGTGTGTTCAACAATTCATGCCAGATATGCTGGTGGATGTAATGTCCTAAGTCCCTTCCCCAGCTAATAGTGAGGGTACTGCTGGGGTGACCGTTTAATAACCCTCACATAATGCTTCAGGTCAAAATGGACGCTAGGCACAGAAACTTTTTTTAGCCATGGCCAATTTTTTTGCTTCTGCCAGACGGTGGCCATTGCATTTTTTGCTCCATTTTTAGACTGGAAGGATATAAGTTTCGTTGCCCAGCTTCTGAGTAGTTGCATGGCGTGGCACTGTGAGCTGCGGGTTTCATTTGAACTGGGATAAACATTTTGTATGTTTTTTGTTGGCACAGCAGCGGAGCAACTATGGGGTGACCCGTTTGCTATGAAGCTGAAACTAAGATTACCAGATTACCATGCCAGATATATCCACAGTGAAACTTTCAAAGTTCTAATTGACAGTCAGTTATGATGACTGCCTTACCAAAGTGAGACTTAGAAAACCATGTCAGAGCTAAAGTGAAATGTCTTTTTCATTATTATGCTGGATGTCATGTTTGCATTTGCTTTACTTTACTACTTGATAATCTTGTCATTCCATCTAGCTGTCAAGCCCCTTTCACCGTGATGCAATGATCTATCAGTAAAACTGTCACTACTGTCTGTTAACCACCTTTTTAGGGAGTAGACAGGGGGGTCGTGAGCCTGTGGTTTTAGGGCTGCATGGCTAGTGCTTCACCAGAGATTATACAGGTTAGGATGTTTAATTCTGCACCTGACAGAAGAATTCCATCACCTTACCGGGGGCCGAACCCGGGTCTCAATATGACAGCCTGATGTTGTAACCACTCAGCAACTGTTCCTTAATATGTTGATCTGTCAGTTAAATAATTCAAAACAATGTTTTCCCGTAATGAATTTAAATAATGCGGATACAAACAATACATTTCAGAATTTTTTGCCAGGCATATTTCACTGTATTTCATCATAAGGTTGGAACACCTATGAGGCCGATCTTGTCTATGATAAACTCTGTTGAGCATCAAACTGTGAAATGGTTAGCAGAAATACTTTTACCAGTTTGGCAGTCTTTTGAAAATAGAACACTGAAAGATACATTTGAGCTTATTGAACTGCTTGACAAAATTGATCTAAAAGATAAACACATGGCTTCTATGGACATATCATTGTTGTTCACCAATGTGCCGTTGGAAGAAAACATCAAAGTTATAATTATTCAAATAAAGGATAAGAAACTTAAACTGGAAATTCCTACGTCCACATTGGTCAGACTGCTGCGCCTCTGCACCTCAAATGTTAAATTTAATTTCCTTGAAACGAGCTACTGCCAAATAGACGGAGTAGTCATGGGTAGCCCACTAGGTCCCATCTTGGTCGACATCTTCATGGCACATCTCGAAAATAGCAAGCCACTGTGTTCTATACCACCATGAACCTAGTCACACAGAAACATCACATTATCGTTACAACACGAACATGACGGCACTTTACCATTTCTTGATGTACTTATTGCACGTAGAGAGGATGGCAGTATCCAAAGATCAGTGTACCGAAAAGAAACATGGACCGGCCAGTATCTAAACTGTTACAGTTTTGTACTTATTCAGTACAAAAGTGGTGTAGTGAGAAGCTTTTTCAACCGGGCCAGAAAAATTTGCACCGAAGACACACTGGCTGCAGAAATTAAAACTCTTAATTCAACTTTTCTACTGAATAGGTACCCCATAGGTTTCATAAAAGGTCACTGCACCCCACCCAACCCTACCCCGAACAAAATTACAGTATCCAAACTACTAGTATATATCTAACTTACTTATCGAGGTGATGATGTCATGCAGTGTCTGCAGGACTGACTGAAAAAAGAAGTTGGCCAAACATTCTTTGCGGCTGTTCCAGTAGTGAGGTACAAGACCACTCCTATCCCAACCCCACCTATTAAACAGCTTGTTTCTCCATACATCAAATCTAATTGTATTTACCAATTCACATGTAAGTGCCAGTTGACTTACAAGGGTCGAACGGAGAGACAGCTTGGAAATAGAGTGGCAGAGCACATACGCAAATGGCTACATACACAGCTCAGTGATCCTTCTAGGCTATCAAGACCAGTCAAGAGGAAAGCTAGGACGTCTACTTAATTCCAGACACATAATTGACACAGACAGTGCTTTCCGTGTGGTTTACCACACTCCGAACAGGAAACTTTTGAGAATCGCCGAAGCGTTAAGAATAAAAATCAACAACCCCCTCCTTTGTAAGCAGACAGAATTTATGGTAAATTTGAAGTTACCCTGGTTAGTCACGTGACTACGGTGAGCCTCCGGTGACCATGAAACAGACGCCGCAATGTTTTGAAAGAAACTATTCGCATTTCATTTGAATTTATTCAGTTGTGTGCTTTATTTTATGTTGATGTAACTCTGTAGTAATGCACCTGTTGAGATACAGCAAAATATGCCTGGCAATAAATTGTGCAATGTATTGTTTGTATCCACATTTTTTAAGTTAAATAGTTATTTTTTCAGAGACATATATATATATATTTATTTATTTATTTATTCACCTCTAATTTTTCAGTAATTTTCTGGTTGAAATTTGGTGAGGGATTCTTGGATGACTGTGCACATATCCACTTATCAATCTGCAAGTAAATAAACAACTTGCAGCAATACACTTAAATTTTACCATGTTCTTACATTAACATTTTTTTTTAAACAAATGTTTATATCACAGTCTAAACTTTTACAGTTATTCAGCAGAATATAGAATGAACAAAGGTGAAATTAAAAAGGCAGAAAATGCTGTTAAACAAGATCATAAAACGACATACTCAAATTTCAGGATCATATAATAAATACTTATGGTAATCTCACAAAATGTTGAATTATTATTTCTATGTATGGAAACTTATGGGACACTCACTACTTTGCATGTTGTAAGAGGTGCCTAAAAGGGGTTGATGCGAGACTGGCTATTCCACCCCATAGAAAAATGTAGCTCAATATTCTCAGTGACTCAAGGAGGCAGGATGAGTAGATGATTCAAGAGTTGATGGTGAGTTGACAATATTCTAAAGACTACAAGAACTCCAGGTCAAAACAGGAACACTATACAGGTAGCTAAAGAAAAATAGTAAACTAACACAGAACTGGTGTTATCAGTCACAGCATGCTTATGGATATACTGAATATGGGATCCAATCACTAATGGATTTGCCAAATGTGCAATGAGGACAATCTGTTGATTAACTAGTTAATCTAATTAACTAACTTACTCAATGAACTAACTTAACTTAATTAACTAACTAAACCCTACTATTTAAAAGTTTGGGAAAACAAAGTAGTAAGCATACATGGCATATGATGCTATACTCATATTTGATAAACCAATCAGCAGCCAACAATAGGTGATATAGTCATCACACCCGCTATGTTGACTAATCAGGAATTTGACCAGTACTCATTTTAGGCTGTCAACTTAGAAGCCAAGTTTCCTAACACATCGATCATGTTGTTGTGTTGGGAAATGAGCAGGCAGATAGACTAGCTGGTTCTGCACTACTTGATGGTGAATGGATGTATGACAAGCTAAGCTAAGTGCTGTGAGGGCCTTTTAGGAGCAAGTGAACATTGAGGAGGCACAAACAGATCATTACGGTCTGAGGAGAGAGGCATTGTAAGGAGTTACCAGGGGATCTGGCTGACACTCAACACTCAAGGGAAAGATGAGAAAGATATACAATCAGACAACTACTGGTGCCATCGGGGTTGGAACTCTTCACTTACTGCTAAAGATAGGGATGGAACCCTTAAGGGAGTGTGCCGAGTGCTGTAATGTTGATTCTTAATTCAACATTTAACATAAAAGCCAAGTTCAATTATTTAAAAATCTGCCCAGCGTGGATTCAAACCCAAAACTAAATCAGGAACTATGTTGGAAAATGTATACATCTTTAATGAGTTAATGGTTAGTATACACAGTTACTTAATTTTAAACAAGAAATTCAGAATGGTTCTCTTACAGGAATTTGCTTTGGAGTTCTCATCTTTGTTGCGATGCTCACAGAATTTGTTGTACAACTCACAGAATTTATTGGCTCACAAAATCTTTCACTGATGGCGTCATCACTGGACTCATGCTCTGAGTCACTACCACTGTCTGTCATGTGTGACATATGACCAACCTGATCAGCTTTGGTAAACAACTGATGGTCATTTAAAACAGGTAGATGCAAGGGTAAAACCACATCTTTTGCCTCTGTGTTTTTGATTTCAGTTGCTTCTACTTTAGACTGAACAGAGACAGTTGACATGTTTTGCAGCTGAAAATCTTCAAATGGAACTAGCTCTTTCTTTCGTAAACATAAGCTCAGCCAAGCTGATTTAACAACTGGTATCTTTGGAAACACATCTATACATAAAAGTCTCAGCAGTCTTGAAACTTCCATCTTATCATCAACTATTATGTGAGTTATGCTGTCATTTAACTCAAATCTCTCTTCTATGTGTCCGCCATTTTTAACAATCTGGTTCTTAAAGATTTCAAGTCGAGTCTTCTCAATGCCAGCTGGTATTATGTATGCAGTTACTTTGGTAAGAAAGCCTTCCGAATTAATAATATTCTTAGTATGTTTTTCTTCAGGTTTATCTAAGCATGGCTTCTGAGTATGAACTCCTAATTTTATTTTTTTACTACTGCCCTCCTTTGACTCTGCTTGTCGCTTCCTTGAATCCATGGCAAAGAGATACCTAATGTTGATATAATCAACAATGAAGAACTGTGGTCATAATGTTACATACTAGAGGTTTTTTTTTTTTAGAGTTTATCCCAAAAAAACTTTGTGGTAAACTTGTGCCGAGTAATTCCTCCAAAGTTAAGCAGTTGGGTTTACAGGTCAACCAGTTTGCCTGAAACATAAGTGTAAGAGGTCATGTGTCAGTTTAACATAGCATTCTAGTACATGCAGAACTAAGATTTCGACAAAGTCAATACAAACAACAGATTTCACAATTTACTGCCTGGTATATTTTGCTGCATCCAGCCTGGTGCATACTACTACTACAGTAACACTGGATACAATGAAGCAAATTTAATCAATCCTTCTCACTGAAATAGAAAATCAACGCCACTCAAGTGGCTATTTTACCAGAGTTTCTTTGTTCAAATCTACACTGGGCAAACATTGCTCTGATTTTCAGAATAAAAGCTGCTGTGTATTTTGCAGTTTAGAGTAAGAATTAGTCATGATCAGCCTATCATGTTATCCCACTATCTACACAGTTATGTACAGTTTTATACATGTAAGACTTAATCAATAGTAGAGCAGCTGAGAAAAATCTGATGGCATCTGAATGTGACTTCTTAGGAAAATGCAAAGAATAACATGGAAAGATGGCAGAATAAAATGGCACAGTCCTTCACTAAGCACATGAGAGGTGCAAAATGACTGAAAACATTAGATACAGACATTCATAATTTTTAATGGCATATTATGAGGACATTAGTTAGTTAGTTGCATATCCTTTTCAGGACGTTGCAGAACCAACCCTAACAGCCCCTGGCTGTTGTGTGGTTTCTCTAGGCAATTTACATCCAGTAGTTTGCCATTGCTTTCTGGACGGTCGGCTTTCTTGATACCACTGTCGAAACCAACGCAAGGCGCATTGCCCGCAGCTGGGATCGAACCTGGCATCCCGGCATTACGAAGTGAAGCGTTCGCATCGACTTAGCCACAGAGCCGACTATGAGGACATACACTCTTGAAAATGAAATGAGGACTAGCTGACTTCTTTTGTCAATTCCTGGAATGCCTTCCAGTGTCAGGGCAGGAAGAGATCTCTGGAACGGGCTCTTCTGTTTGCTTCATATAAAATACTTTCAAGTGTCTCTGATATTTCTGCGGTTCATCTTCTGCATGGTTGACCTCTGGATCTGTTACTGTTGTATCTGTATAACACTGCTCTCTGTGATGCCCTGTCTGATGCACTTGTGAAAAAGGCAAGAGGAAGACAGATATAACATAAATGGAAATGAGAACGTGGACCTAATGCAGGTCAGTTAAAGGGTCGGCGTATTTATTAGAAATTTTTTTTTTTAACTATGCTCTTTCATGCTTATTTGCATGGCATATGATGGTGGTGATGATTTGCAAAATTCTTTGCCCATCCGTTAAAATTAGTACAAGCTACAAACACTATTTAGTCAACAATGTGTAGAGAATAACAATAATAATGAACAAAAATGGCCTGGCATCAAGTGGCAGGACAAGATCACAAACAGATGTTTTGGAAAGAGTAGGTACTACAACAGTCTTCTCAATGCTCAGTCTACGAAGGCTCAGGTGGCTGAAGATGTTGAGACCGACCTCAACTACAATATAAAGATGTGTGTAAGCGGAATATGAATGTTACAGGTAATGAGGTGGACTCGTGAGAATAAAATGCCATGGACTGTGTTGTGTGAAGGGGGCACATCAGGAAGAGAAGAAGAATGAAGAAAGAAATTACTGAAGAAAGGATGAGAGCTTAGCGTTTGAGAAGAAAGGGACTAAACACAAATGGTGACAACAATGGTCCTGAAGTCCCAAAAATGTGGAAGACTTTTTTTTCGGGCAGGTCTTGCTAGTCACACTCGCCATCGCCATGGGCTGTGAGCCCACTGCCTCCTCATAGCGCAATATAACACTATCGTCTGAAAAGATGGAAAGGTGTCAATCGAATAACAATAATAAAAAGGTTGCTGACAAGTTCAAATCTTTTTCTCAGCGATGTTCATATATTATTATTAATATTATTATGTACAGTTACTCACTACAGTTTTCTATTCTTTCCATCATTTGTTTCACGAATGTGTAATTTAAAAAAAAAAAAATAGTTGAGGGAGCGCGGAGACAGAGAAATAGTGAGACGGGGGTAACAGAACGAGAGAGAGAGAGAGAGAGAGAGAGAGAGAGAGAGAGAGAGAGAGAGAGAGAGAGAGAGAGAGAGACATAGACAGTGGGACATAGCAAGAAAGAGGGGACAGAGTGAGAGAGACGGGGGGGGGGTGACAGAGACACAAATCACAAACAAACGAACAGAGCGAGTGAAGGTAGGCGGGGATGAGAAAGACGTCTTAGACAGACGGTACCAGAGACGTAGATTACGGTAGATCGAGAGACACAGACGACAGAGGTGGCGATATGTAAACTTGTAAACGTGTGTCTGTCATAACGGGAAATGCATAAATTATAAATTACGAAACGATAAGTCAAAGCTTACTAAAGCGACCACACAATGGAATCGTCAAAACTGCCTGTACCTCGGCCCTATCTCACATCAATGGCCAATCCTATTTCTGATACAATCCATAGTTCAATTTCATAAGCAACTGGGGTCACAAGGTCAAAGTTCGCGTGGATGTGCCCACTTTCTCCCCGCCACACACCTCAACTAAAATTATTATGAGTGTTTCAATCGACATATATTATAAAAGAAACATATATTTTGGTTTACAATATACACATATATAAAATATTACAAATTTATTTATTTAGTGTGATGTTATAATGACGATCAAACAGGAGATTTATTACTGTGCCTAATTCTGATATTGTGAATTAAGAAACTATCCCTTTCATATATATATATATATATATATATATATATATATATATATATATATATATATATATATATATATATATATATATAATGTGGAAAAAAAACAATATACCCCAGACTGGATGAACTGAATATTAGTATAAATGCACCACGATGTTAAAACTGCATGAGCACCGTTTAAATAGTTATGAAAATGTTACGAAAGGGATAAAAATAAAGCACCAACTGAAATTATTTAGATACATTGCTGTTATTTTTAAAAAAAAATGTTTTTACAGAATAGGGAAATAGTTTAATGACAGAAGCGTCAGAAATTGATTTTTTTTAATACTGATCTACAAATGATACAGAAGGAAACACAATTGTTATTTTGGAAATTATTGTTATTACAGTTTATCTTCTTATTCTTCTTTCTCTCCCTCCTCCTCCGCCTGATCTTATCTGGTTTCCAATCAGGAACTCAGTTTTAAGTTCAATATATTATACAAATAACTGGTATTGTCTATTTCCTTATATAAGAGTTGGACTCTCACTGTGGACACAGAAAGGAGGATTTAGGCTTTCGATTGCAAATGCTAAGGTGAATTTTGCAAATTAGTTATTTAGAACATAAAACTAACAAATATTCTTGGTTCGGGCACGTTATGAGACATGATTAGATTGCAAAGACTGTACTTCAAGGAACATTGGGGGTGGTCGAAGAAGAGATTTGATTTGATTCAAGAACCGACATCACAGCACTCGGGGCATTTCAATAAGCGCTCTGTCCCCATCTTCAGCAGCCAGCGAAGAGTTCTGATACTACTGGTGCCAGTAGCATTTTGATTAAACGCACGTCTTGCCTTTCCTCTGAGCCTCAAGCATCTGCCAGAACCTCTCGTCACTCCTCCCGCCCTCCCCTCCTCCCTCGCATCGATCTCACGACACTGTGGTGATCCATCTGCGCCTCCGAACTGTACACGCTCTCCCTCAAGACACTAACCACGTCTGCCTTATCATGTATCAGTATTCCACCAAGTTGTGCAGAGCCAGCCAGTCTGTCCGTTTGTTCATTTCCCAACACACTGGCGTAACCGGGCGAAAAAATCCAGACAATATTCCTCACCCGGTCCTCCGCAGCGAATCATACCACTCGCCACGAAGCATGCCTGTCCTGATCTCCCACAGCATGCTTTCTGAGTCAGTTACAATCACGATGTGTGTGTGTGTTGTAGAAAGCTGCAGTGACCGCCTTCACCTCCATTCTTGAGCTGGATGTTTTTGTATCATATGCTAGGCTCTCCTACACCAAACATCGACCTTTAACTTTTGTTAAGAAGCCCCAAGCACTTATTTTGCCTCTTGACACTGAACTGTCTGTGTAAATGATCAAGTCCTCATAGCGAGCGTTATCTTGAATAATTTGCTGAATTTCCACCTCCGTGGCACCTGCTGGCCAATCTCTGCATTCCCGGCTCAGTGTGATTATGACCCTACACGTCTGACTGTTCAGGAGGCACTTTGACCCACTCCTCTCCTCGCCTAATGTTCTCAAGGATGCAAACATGTCTGATTGTGTCTTCTGCCTGAGCCATCCATGACTTCCCTCTTATCAGCCGCTGACCCTTAACTTCACTCAGACCTTCATGCAAAGGGTGGTGTGTGTCTGCAGCTACCCTGAGATATGACTTCGCCTGCAGCACCTTGTGCCTACCTGCAACAGTCAGCAAACCAAGGATTTATCGCATACACACCACCTAGAATGATCACACCAAGAAATGGACAGGACTAAGTTATCATACACTTGTTCAGCAAGCGGAAGACAGAGAAAGATGGCGAGTGTGTGTGTATGCTAGCGCTCCCATCGATACCCCTCCAGTACCCAAACCGATCAAAGGTTATGTTATGTTATGTTGCTTTGGTTTTAACAATCGTATCGAGAGCCGACCGTTAAGTGAACAATGGCAGACTACTGAACGCCAGTTTACCTTAAAAAACAAAATACAACAGCCGGAAAATTCTGGACACGCATCTAACTTAGCAACTACAGTGATTCTATCTCGGATCTGTTTTCTCCAAAAGCTAAAGAATCTTCACATAACTAAGTATTATTATACCCCCAAAAAATTGCAGGTAAGATGAATATTTCTCTATA